CTTTAGATTTGTTTTAAATCGATACACATATCTTCCAGCACTTCTAACATTCTTCCCAAGGCACTTTTGGCACAAATTTTTGAAATCACAAAGCCACAAAATAAGCCTCATTGGGCATCGGCGGCGTCGGCGGCTTCAGAGGTTGACAAAATCGTGTTCAGTGGCCCAGAGTGGCATGGTGGAGTTCCGCATTGAATTGCGGTGAAGATTGCCCGGCCCCTGGATCTGGACGGCCGAACTATGCTGGTATGGGATGGGAATGGTCTTGGGATTTGGCTGGGAACTGGGATTGAACTGGGAGACAAATGTGCAAAAACATTTTAATGAATTAAAACGCTTAAGATGGAAGAATAGAGGTATAAATATTTTCATTTTATTAAAACCGATTAAGCTTACGAATACTTCTAATGCGTGGCAGACCACAAAATTGTAAGTTCAACGTAAGAGAAGCCTACTTCCTCGATTCTTTCAAAAGTTCCCATACACTTCATTCTCATTTCACAAATCACCTTCAACCGACTATTTGCTAATAAGCCAATCTGTAGAGCAATCAAATGTCAATACATTGAACATAAAGTTTGCTGATCTGCAGATGGAACAATATAAAACCATTTATTACTCCTAATAGGCCAACTCGAGTTGGCCTAATCCGACGCGTATGCCCCACTCGTTCTCCGTATTGCTTTCCTTTTTTCGCCACCGCCAAATGACGATTGGCCGGATAAAATATTTGGTGCCATTCGATCGTCGATGTCCAGGGACATGAACAAAGCCACATCGTAAAGTGACTTGACTTGGTCATCCGATGTTGCACGCGTTTGTGATGCGTATGCTAGAGATGATATCGTGAGGCCAAGAATAGAAAAGTTATTATTGAAATTTATACTTATATATAAAATATATAAATACCATTATATATATTTAGTGAAATTTGAACCTAGAAGCCCCTACCCTAGAACCTACCCTAGCACATCTCTTATTCTATCTTGTAAGAAGAAAAAACTACTTCCAGGACAGGATCTGGCTGCTGAGCTCCTTTGCATAGTGCGAAAAGCAATGCTAGGGATTCAAAAAATTCCCAGGCGTTCGCTGCTGCACCGCACATAGCACATGGCGAGATGGCCATCTAATAAATTCAGCTAATTAATGGCGAGTATGAGAGCATGAGATTGAGCCACAGGCCGTACGAAGAGCAGTGCGAACCGCACATTAGCAAAAATCTACATGATATTGAGATGCCACAAGGTGCTGGCTCAGAATCTAAAACTGAATCTGAATCTCCAGCTCCTACTGCTTGGGCTACGGCTGCACTCTGGACTGCACACCTGAATGCCAGGCCTCATTATGGCCAAGTTAGCTGGCTGGCTGGTCGGCCAGCGGCAATGGCCTTAGATACAGATTTCTTATCATTAATTAAACTCAAGCATGTTAGCTACCGTGTTCGAAGATATAAGGCGCTTCTCCCGGGCCACGGATTCGATCGGGCATCTTTCAACTGACCGCTTCAAGGCCTCAACTGGGGGCGGCACACGCCTTATCGCCGGCACGCAATCGTTGTGGTTTGTGTGGCATGCCACCTCCCTCGTTCTCGTGGCTGGAAGGTGTCGGGTCAGCCCAAGGGTCCGAAAAGATGCCCCATTGGGAGCAACTTCATTTGCTTAACATGAATTACGTTTAAGGTGTTTTCGATAAGATTGTGGTTGCAGGTAAACAAAATATCTTGCAAGTTAAGTAAGTAATACTCCTATAACTCTACTGAAAGCTATTAAGTTGGGTGAAAAAAACTTTCCCATAGCCCCAATGATCTCTGGGAGACCCCGCCCCATCATCAAAGTCCAATTGCAGTGACACCAAAGATTTTCATTCGATTTTCCCGCACCAACGTCTTGCCAAAAATGATTCCCCCGGGCTGAGCTCTCCCCACCCGCCTTGGATTCTCCTCCTCGGACTCAGTCCCAGTCCCAGCCTCAGCCTCGGACCATCTCATCTCGCCTGGCGTTGTCAACAATGTAATTTATCAGGCAAGCGACATAATTACCTGCCACTTATGGCAATAAAAAAAACCGACGCAGACGGAGAGGGGGCGATCCGATGGCCGAAGGAGAGGCAGCCGGAGAAGCCTGGCTTTCTGGATAGCTGGCTGCATTCAAATGCTGCATCCGTCCGCCGTGGACAGCGGACAGCGGGCGACGAGCGGCGGCAACTGAAGCTGAAGGATTTATGTTCTTACAAAACGCTCCAAGGCGCTTAACAAGTGAGGCAGCCAACCAGGGCCATAGATTGATCGTCTTTACTTTAGGTAGAGGGAGATGCACTGAAATAAATTTTCAATAAAATACTATATATAGATCTTCTCTTGGTAAATAATTATTGAATTACTTATCTCTGAGCTATATCCAATAATTGTACATTTTTTATATTTTGAAACCTTTATTTATTGTGTGTCCGAGGCTGGGTGCACGGGGCGTATGTGCAATGAAAATTCCCGCCGTTTGGTAGCCGCCGTTTAGCGCCTGCCGTGGCTGCAACTGATTCCCACCGCTGGCGGCACCTCCGCTTTGATCTGACTGGGGCTCTGACTCCTCAATCCCTGAGAGCTGTGAGGGAGCTTCGTGCCAGGCCCAAACGAAAGCGTTGACAAGTCGCCCGAGCATTGTGATCCCGCCGAGGATTTAACATATTGGCCCTGATGGTGATCGTGGGGGCTCTAGCTGCGGGGGGTGATGCTAGTGGTGGCCTCCTGACTGGCGTAAATTGGTTGACAAATCGTAAAGTCTTAAGAGTATGAAAAGAAGTAGAAGAGTGTATAGATTTTCATTTTAAAATATAATAATAATTTACTTCATTTCTTAATGATAATAAGACTTCAAAAACTTAATAACGTTTTCATGTCTAAATCTTCATACCAAATTTCTTAAGGATTCAAGCAAATCTAACTCATACCGGGCTATATTTGGACAGAAGCCCCACGCCCCTGAGCCACTTTTGGCCAAAAACAATCATAACAGTAATGCTGGCTAAAACACGACGGAACAATAACAGAGAGACTTCTGTTGACCCCGCCAGGTGAACCCACCTGCTCCGATCTGAGGGGGCCTTATCATTTGCCGTTAGACGGGGCTCGGCCATACCCGTCCCATCCCCGACATCGGTCGGACTTCTTAAAGCACAAAAATCGCCAGACAAATTCATATTTTATTGCCGCGGACCATGACCGGGCCAAGGCATTAACAAACAATGCAGCTAAGACAGCAGCAAACGGCAAACAAGAAGATCAATGGAAAAGCAAATATTTTCACTCCATGGTTGCCTAATCCGACCGAGAGCAGCTCCTGGACGTTTTGGCCATTGTTTTTGCCGCTTCTTGTTGTTGTTGTTGGTATTGCTGCTGGTCGCTGGAGCTTTTGGCCAAATTGCATTTCGAACATAATTTTCATATGTCGCTCTGGCAGTTATAATCACGTTCACAGCTCGTTAGCCGAATGCGAATACAAATAAAATTACCGAAAAAACCAAATAATAAAAAAAACCAGATCCCAAATTCGAGCCACAACCCACCTGTAGCTCCTCCGCACTGCCTGTATGTCCATAATTGTTGGTCGGGAACCAGCATATTGCATGAAGAGGAGGAGTGTGCGGATGCCTAGCTGGCCTGGCCATCACCATATTGACCATTAGGCGGGCCGAGAGTGCGTTTTGCATTTTGTGCATCTTCATCGATTTCACCATTTGGCGCGCGGCGCATAATTGGTCAGGCCAAGACCGCAAGATCCAAGACGGGCCACGACCATCAGGGGTGATGCACTAAAAGAATTTATATAAATTATCTTATTTTAATTGAGACATTTTGTTCCAAAAAAAGCAGTTTTCTAATTGAAGAAGACAAAACGGCACTATTTATTATTAAAATAGTTATGCATGTTTTTTCTCTGTGTATGCGGGATCACAACCAACAGCACGTTTTTCTTTGCTTCCACTGATGATTACCGATATTGCAGGCAGTGAAAAATGCGTTGGATGCGTGGAAAAGTTTTCTGTTTTCTTCCACCCAAAAATCTGGGGGTTAGGTAAATTCCCTCCATTCCGCTTGATTTCATGCCAGTGGAAAATGGGTGGCTCCCAAGAGAAACTATTGTGGCTCCAAAGGAATTCTATAAGAACGACTGAAATTAATTGTAAAGTGATTAATTAATTTTAAGGTACTGTTACAGGACAAAAATTTAATGAATTTTATCAGGAAATAGCTAAATTTTGAGAAGAAAACTTGAGAAAATTATTAAATTGGCCAGAAATGCTATTACTTTCAATATAATACAGAAACTAGCTTGGGACTTTTTCAAAAATCACATTATACCGAATTGCTCTGATATATTTCTCTTACATTTCTATAAAGATCGGTAAAGCATGCTCACTATTGCTATTTAATTTGTAGCGGCCTTTGCAGTATTTGTCCTATGATATTTGCAGTATTTGTATTTGTTATATATACAAAAGTGAGCTATATGTTCTTTTTATAGAAAAATATGGTAACTGGTCCACTTCTTAAGAAAAAAATAAAACAAGAAATAAAACAAGCACATTTTGAAATAGGCGCCTTGTTTAAGCCATGTCTGATTCGTTTTTAGTTGCTTGATCTGGTAGCATTCTTATAAACCTGGCTTTTATTCTTTGCTGATACGGCAACGCCATTACCCAGTCACAGTTTATTAAAAATATTTCACGGCTTATAGTACCAACCTAAAATATAGTTTCAACAGATTAAATTAAAAAGAGTTTAAAAAAAATTCCAAGAGAACTAGACAGAATACGTATTTTTTTTAAAATTAAAATGGCTATTTCTCTATTACCGTTAACTCAACATGGCGGCATTTCCGACCCCGCTATCCAGTGCTGTTAACGCTATCAGCTGGTGGTAACATTTCAGCTGGTAATGCTGCATGCAACGCGCATGTACGAACCGAACCTGGCTCGATGGTATAAAACTCGGTTGAAAACAAATTGTATGGAACACAACGCAACACTTTCTAACGGTAACGGTTACGGGTCGGATGCGCGATTTCCACCAGAGTAGAGCCACCGTCACCGCACCGCCGCCGCCACACAAACAATAATAATGAAAAGCGCCAGACAAAAACCAAAAGCTAATTGGCCGCAAACCGCTAAGTGATTAATTCATATCGACTGCCAAACGCGTAAATATTTGCATATCAATCGACGAAGTTTTCCGGACTAGCGAGATAGAAATTAAATAAAACCCAAGCACTGCCCAGTAGTGTAATAAAATCAAAATAAATTGAAAGCAAAAAATCCTTAGTACACTTACACGGACATCCCCGCCGCCGAGTGTGTGTGTGTGAGTGACTCTTTGTGTGTGTTGGTGTGTGCGCATGCGCCAGCTGGAGTTTCTGTGCATTAATTGCTTTCTGCCAGCCATTTGAAGTTGCAATTGCGATACGATCGGACGGTAGGTGGCTAACATGTTTCGTTACGCTTTGATTTGGGCTTGGCCTTAATTTAATTCTTATATATATTTTTTTTTTCATTGGTTTTTGTCTTTTTTGTGCCGGTTGTGGCTCTGGTTATTGTCAACGACACCCACCCACTACCAATACTCATACACACACATAGACACAGACACAGGCCAAATACCCAGGCAGACGCCCCCACAGCCCCCTTTCAACCACCCGCACATTTACTACGCGCGCTTTGCCGCAAAAGCTCTGCCTCTGCGACGGCGTAAGCTTTTTCTTTCATTCAAGTCGCCGCTGCAGCCGCCTGGCGTTATTCTGCGTGAAAGTTAATTCCGTTTACTATCGGCATTCATCAACATCATCATTATACCAGTCATCATTATCATCGTCATCATCAACAGGGGAATCCGCTTGCCGTCCCCCTGGGCAACCAAAAACCACCTTTCTAGCCTCCCCCTTTGGACCACCTTGCCCTTTTGCCGGCTTTTTGTGCAAAGCATTTAAGCAGTAATTGACATGCATTCGCCGATATGTGTTGACAGATAAACTACTCGCACTCGCACTCGTACCCGTCCGCCCACTCTCATATTTCCCTTTTTCTTTATTTTCTCGCTGCCTTTCCCTTTCAAAAAGGGAAATGTGGGTGGGTGTTAGAGACACAGAGTGACGAGGGGATTATTATTATGGTGGGGATTAGGGGAGTGTCTGCCGCGAAGCCCAATTTTCATCATCTTGAGTGCGGCTTAAAATATTGCCAAGGTGGCGTGCCACTAGCGGGGGTGGCAAGCGAAACCGAATCAAGTCAATGGTGCGGATTCGGTCTTGTACATTAAATTAAAATCCAAATATACGGTAGTTTTAATGGAGGGCTCAGGACCTCAACTAAAACCTAAGCCTGAGCGTTAAAATGTTAAACAAGCCATAACAACAAAGCCACAAAATGAAGCCTTCAAAACCACATAACCGCATTAAGTAGCGAATGCATCTTTCAAACACGTTTTTGATTAGAATTTCTGGAGTGTGGAATGTCAGTTTCAGAGCACGTAACATGCCATAAAAAATAGACTTTAAAATAGACTTTGGTTTTATCTCTAAACATGCTTTGCTAATTAAAAAAGTATTGTATTAAAAATGCTATAATTGGAATCTCTATAAATAGAAAGAACTCCCTTGGATCACTTTTATATTCAGCGTATAAATTACGTTTGAGGAAAAGTGTAATCCGCTTTTTGGCTTAACATTTTTCGCCAGCTCATGGCTGAGAGAAGCATACCAAATTGCGCTAACTTAATCAGAGCGACGTGCAATTACTTGCATTAGAGCATTTCCAGCTCGTCGTCCTGCTGCGTCTCCGACTTCGTTATGGTCTCCTGGGCAGCTCCTTACCGCCACCTCCTTGGATCGGCTCTAGTTGCATTTGTGCCTCACCGTTCTACCTTTTGTCATTCATCGCGCCTTTCAACAGCTTACCAAGAACTGAGAGGCAACGACAGCACCAATGGCAACGGCAATGGCAACAGCAACAGCAACGTCGAGAAAATATCGCACTTAAATTGCACTTAATGAAGCTGCATCATCACATTTTGCATTTCATGCTAAAGAGCACTGAAAGAAACTAGCTTACAGTCTTCCTGATATTAGGCATATATCCTAGTAAATTTTATAAAGTTTCTTCCAGTGGTTTCTCTGTATAAATAGGGGTACTGGTACTGAGTCACTCCATTGCCATTTCTTCTCGTACGTGAGCGGATTCCTGACTCAGGAACAATGACCCAGCCACTTGCATTCAACAGACAAATGAGTGGAAATTATGCCAAGACACAGGCAATTAATAAGTAAAGAAAAGCTACGTAAGCCTCCCTCCCGTACTTCCGCCAACCATCCTGACTTTTGTCTCCGGCCACCTGCTGTTAGCCACCTTCGGTGATTACAGACACTTGAGAGAAGGCATCTGACTCTTCACCCCATTTCCCACTCGGTCTTACACCTCCAGCATCACCTCAATCCGATGGAACGTCTCATTTACATGCTTGCATCGAGGGCGTCGAGTGTTTGCCGCCGGCAATCCATAATAATCTCAGGTCGGTCTCCACTGCTCGAAATCTTTCCATTTCCATCGACTGTCTGGTTCTTCTGCCATTGTCTTCGGGCCCTCAAACATAATTGGGTTTGGCCGGATATCTTGATTTCAATTTAATGACGACTTTTAAGATTGATTGGTTGAGATTTTAAAGAAAGATGATGGTTAGTCGTTAACCACATTTGCATATTTTATTTAATTATAATGATCTATAATCTTTGATGTATTAACCAAAAACTTGTTAACTAAAACCTAAACATATTGTGGTTGCGAATCTAATTTTTATAACTCTTTCCTTAACCTTTGAGATTCCTTTTTCCCCAAAATTCTCCTGCTAACAAGTCCTTTTCAAATACCTCTTTGAAAATGTGAAAGAGGACCCCCCATGTGAGTAAAATATTTTGGCCAGGTCACCGCAGAATATCAACTAATAAACATAAGAGAACACGCAAGTGGTCATTGGATTGAAATTGGTGGGCAAATACCACAACTGTGACCATACCACACTCAGTTGCACAAACCGGAATACATCAGCACATGCGTACACCCAAACACACACCTCACTGTGCCCCCCCTAACACACTCACACGACAATCAATATAAACGCATTTTCATAATTAATCAATGCTGAATAATTTGTCAGACAGAGCAAGTCAGGCTATGTTGTGACACGGAAAGGATGAGCATGGTGTGTGTGGGAAGCGTGTGTGTTAATAAGCAAATCTCAGAGGTTTGTTTTGGCTTTTATCGGTGGCTGTGGCGGCTTTGTGGTAAACAGATAGATGGAATATCTATCCGAATCCCACACACTCGCTGTTGCTTTTCGCACACATGGATTGGCAGTGGCTGTGGCAGTGGCAGGGGCAGAGCGACGGCAAAAAGCCAAGCCAACTGTGAAAGCCGCATTTACATTAGCATCCCAATAAGCGATAGTAAATGACTAAAAATATTTGTGAACTTTACGGATATAAATAAGTGATGGTTTTCAAACTAAAAAAAGAAATGAGGTCAATGCAATGAAAAAGTTGTGAATGAAAGTTCTAAGATTGGAAAAGATATTCTAAAAATATAGAACGCCCTATAAGCAACCACTGTATGGTGTAAACGGTCTTCTAATAACCTCATTAGGTAATTTGACTTTCGTCAAAGTTCTCGTATTACAAAAATACCATCATCGGCAGAAAAAAAAAGCCCGGTTAACTAAATGACTAAAGCTTTGCCCAGACCAACTGTGCCACATTTTGTGCCACTTCCCTCAAGTCCCTGAAGCTGGGCCTTCCACAACTGCCTCCCCGTCCAGAGTTCTTTGTGTGTGGCATGCTTGGCGTATTATGTGTATTTAAAGATCATTAGTGCGCAATTTATATGTAGATATTCCGGAATATATCGATTTCCACCAGTTGAGCGGGCTGAGAGGGCTTAATGCCAGCTCCAACGTGTGGCGGCGGCATTGTTAAGAATGATTAAGAGGCTTCGATGCCATCAGCGGGCATGGGAGGTTGAACCATGGGCTGTGGTGGGTGGTGGTTGCTGCTTCGGGGTTGGAGGTCTTAAGGCGGTGTCAAGGCCAAGCGTCAAGACATGTGTTCCCCGGTGGGGCACTATACCTTAATCGAGGCTTAGCCGGATGTGAGGCCAAATGGAAAAAAAGTAGAACCCAAATGGCAGAAAAATGGCATGTTACTCAGAAAGATGAATTGCCTGAAATAAAGTTAAGAAGTCACAATAAAAAATCATGATTTTTATAAAATAAACCAATACCAATACCGTATTTTTTAATTTAATCACTTGTGTTTTTTGTCCCCGCTCTCTCTGTAAAAAACACAATCATTTCCCTTTGACCTTTTTCGGTAAACGTTTGCTTATTTGTCACAAAAGCCCCAAAGTATGCAATGAAAAATCGTTCGATTACCTTGCCACAATTTAAGCAAACATTTTTTACCTGGCCTTCACGTTCCACCACCCACTACCGCCCCACCCCGCCATATATCGCTGTCAATTTTCCGATAACGATCAAGATTCCATTAAATGTATATGAGCGAGACTTTTCCGCCATCAACTGTCACAGAATTTTTGCATACATTTACATAAAAATGCAGGAGGTGCGCCCCGGTCCAGATAGAGCGTATTAAATGCACGTCCCGAGCGGAAAAAGGCTTACAGATTAAATTAATGTTGCTGGGGGGAAAACAATATATGCGCCAGTTGTTGCCACACACTCGCTCTAATGAAGTAACATTCGCACACTCCCAGATACGCACGCACACACACACAGATACACACACGCAGACACACACAAGCATAGCGAAGCAAATAGCGAAAATTCCATGGAAGCTCTTGTGGAGGAAGCTGGAAAAAAAAGAAGCAAGAACCAGCCATAAATATTTTTCGAAATAAATTCTCGTTTACAAATTATGATTTTATGACTTTTTGATGGCGCCGCCACAAAACCCACACTTACGCAATTCCGCAGGAACACACACAGACACACATACGCAGGGTAATATATTTCCGCTCACAGGAAAAGAGAAAAGCAATGGCGACTGGAACGGGAACGGGATCGGGCGAGAGCCGAAGACTCTGAGGCAAAACGCTTTACGTATTTATAGCAATTTCGCATTGGGTCCTCACACTCCGGCGCTTTATACCCACACATCGATACAAAGGGAATCCTGCCACCCGAAAAGCCCACTTTATGCCAGAGTTTGCATTAAAAAAATTGCCTCAAAAAACAAAAGCAAACGAAAAAAATCGACAAAAACCCAAGCGAACCTTAAAGCGGCGCCCAAAAAAAAAGTTATTACACAAAAGCGCGAAAAAAATTTTTGTCCGAGTTGAATGCAACTTCCATGTGGCAGGGGGTGTGTGTGTGTGTTGCAGCAGCTGCTGCCACTTCCCAGCATTTGTGTGCCATTTTTTGTCTGATTTTTGTGCTGCCTACTTTCGGGCGCATAATTTATGACCGCCCGGCATTAAATTAGCCAAAGCGCAGCATGAAAAAGCGGCGACAAGCTCCGTCCGACGTCCGGCGCTTATTAGGCCCCGTAGAATATTGCCAGGACAGAGGGTGGGGGGCGGAGGGCTAGGGGGCGTGACACACATCCGTACAAATAGTTTCAATCCTTTTTGGCCAGAGACAGCGGGGCGGTTCCTAATATTTTGCATTAATTTGGAAGAAGTTTCCTCTTTTTTTTTGTCTGATTTCCAACATAAAGTAGATTTTGGTGATTCGATTGGAGAAGGGTCTCTATTTGCAGTTTATCAAACATTTATTTGGGCTTGGGTTTTTATAAATTTTAGATTCATGCAAATAAAGTATACAATTGGAATTTCCTACTTGTATTTATTTGATTTATACTTTTCGGAATAGAAATTGTAGAACAATGAGAAGATTTCTGATAATTTATGCACTGCGAAATTGGAGCAAAAAAAGTATAAAAGTATAATAATTCAGGTTTATTTATGGGATTTGTGTGTATATTAATAGCAAAAAGGAAAAAAAAATGATTTAAGGTCTTTAAACCTGTAGTTCGTTAACTTTTTTCTCAAATAACATCAACACTGCCAAAGCAATGCATTTTTTCCAGAAAAATACAAATGTTTAAGACCATTTTGAAGCTCACTCTGAAGGTCCAAACGGAATCCATTATTTGAACCCATTTCCTTAATGTATTTCTCAAACTTTCTCAGACTCACCAGGCGGCCCTCGTTTGTCACCCTTTTTCAAGCGAGTGTGTGTGTGTGTGTTTGTGTTTCGGGTTTGTTTGGTTGTGTTTACTTACAATTATGAGCGTGTTGATGACAACATTTGCCAGCGTCTTCGTCCTTCGTCGTTCGTCTTGCCTCCCTCAGCCCACGTCCCTCGTCTCAAGCAGCCAGCCACACACTTGGAAAAGTTTTATATAAATTTTTGCCAAGTCTTTGGAGGGTGCCTTGAGCTGCGGCATTGCAATAATAATTACAAATGTTGCACAATAAATTGCAGAGTAAACAGACTTGCTGACGTTGACACCGACGCTGGCAGAGACTGCAGCCGAAGCAGAATCCGAATCGGAATCCAGAGAAGGACCTGGAGCAGGAGCAGGACCAGAAGCAGAGGCAAAATTACTTCCTGCTGAATCGTAGCGGAAATGTACATACAAATGGCACTCACACTGGCGCAATCACAATCCCAGAAACAGGATGTGTCTGACTGGAGCAGTCCTTTTCCGGCTGAGAGCGTGAGCACAAAATCGAATTCGATGTTCGCTCTAAACTGCAACTGGTGGGGGAAATGGGGCAGTGTCCTTGTGGCTTCCCCCCAGCCTGCAGCCACCAGCCATTTGGAGCAAACTCTGACAGGACTTGTGCTCCTCTTAGGAGAGTGGCACTTGTCAAATAGAAAATCATAGAAAAAAGTCCCGCGGCGGCGACAAGATGCGTAATTGCACAGCTCCGAGCGGAGAACTGTTGCTCCGCCAAGGATGCCGAAAGGCTATGTTTGTGTTAGTGTCTGTGTGGGGAAGGATGTGGCCGGATATGGGAGGATGTGTGCCCCAAATGCCACGGCTTTTTGCATTCCACATTTCCATTCCCTCTAGTGGTGTTGCCACATTCTCGCGTCCCCTCCCGCGTCCTGTCCCAGAGAATGCAATAAATCCTGGACTGGCAAAACAATGACAAATGTTCTCGCTTCCGTTCTCCATATTTGTGTGTCTGTCTGTAACGCTGTGTGTGCCAGGGTCTATCTATGTTTTTGCTCAGTTGTCATCCGCATGCCGGACATTTAATTTGATATCCGCTTATTGCCAGCAATTCGCTCCAACTTGTGCCAACTGCATGTCTAAATAGACTCAATTGGGTATCATTTCTCGCTGGAATTTCGAACCGTTTCCAAACGATATGTGATGTTATCTTAATGGCTTAAAAGGATACGGCAAAACATTTACACAGCCGCTCTTCAATTTATGCAAATGAACTGCAAAAAGTTTAATTACCGTTCTCGTATCTAAAACAATTAGTTCTACACGACTTGACATCCGTTTAGCTGTCATGTTTTGCTAAATGTTTTACAAATGTCTGCTAGAATTATAAATTGGGTTAGATTTTATTAATGTTCATGAATTTTTAAGTGAAATTTACGAGTATGTGTCTGATGTTATTATTAATTGGAAACAGAAAGATTGCACAACATTGGGTTCTAATATTTGTTGATTTCCTCTTCACAGCCTGTGTTGGCGGTTGCCATGTAGAGCCTCCACATCTCAGCCTGCAACCAAAGCCAGAGCGGAGTCATGGTGGAATCTTCGAGCCTGGGGCGGACCCCGCCCTCGGCCCAGCAGCCCATTCCGCAGCAGCATTCCCCCTCGCCATCGGGAATGCGGTGCGGCAATATGGAGACGCGGGTGCGCGGTGCCTGGTACCGCGTCCTGGTCACCCTCGAAACGGACTTTCTAGCCGTCAGCCTGGACGAGTCCTGTGAGGCGTCTCAGCAATCCAATGATGGACAATCGACAACTTTAAATGGAACTTTGGGGTGAGTTTGGAATTTTTGTATAAAATTTGAAATATTACGTATACGTATTATTACGAAAATAGTACGTATACGCCTAGTTATTTTCTATTTCTTCAGTATAATTATGTAAAAAATATTTTTAAAATCCTTTAATATTTTCCAGGAGCAATCACAGTGGCGGAGGCGGTGGAGCCGGCGGAGGCGGGTCTGGTGCCTCCGGACAGAATGGTGGCCTGCCCAACTCCGCCTCCCTGCAGGGCATGAGCGGTGTGCCCGACACCGAGCTGGACGGATCGACGGTGGGCAACGACAATGGTGACCTCTGCCTGAACAACAACAACAATGCCGGCGACGGGGGCGGCATGGATATGTGCGACGTACCTGACCATGTGGCCAATCAGAAGCGGCATGTGCGCATCATCAAGTCGGACAACAACGGCCTGGGCATCTCGATCAAGGGCGGACGCGAGAACCGCATGCCAATCCTGATTTCAAAGATATTCCGGGGCATGGCCGCCGATCAGGCCAAAGGACTGTATGTGGGCGATGCCATCCTGACGGTGAACGGCGAGGAGCTGCGCGACGCCACCCACGACGAGGCGGTGCGCGCCCTCAAGCGCTCCGGTCGTGTGGTGGATTTGGAAGGTGGGTACTCGCACATTTTGATACATTTGCTACCTCTTGGCCAGAATGTCAAATTGTTATTTGCCTAAAGCATTTTGCGCACACACGGCGAGATGCAAGAGTGGGCTGTGTGCCTGCTGCCAAAGGGAAGAGCTTAAAAAACGCGAGTCAAACTAACAAGTATACTATGTGCAACATCGCGAGTTTTTGGGCACAGTGGGTTGGGCAATCGAAAGAGGTATTTAAAAAAAGAACTTACATGTCGTAGGTGTTCTAAATAATTTTTTATAAGTCCTAGTGCCACTAACAACGTTTGATCTGCCAGTTAGAATTTCTGCAAAACTAAAATCCATCTTAAAACTAAAATCTCCTTTTTAGAAAGCATACATTTTTAATGTTTTTTATCCGCTACTTGTTTTTGTGATAAATTGTATCTTTGATTCCCACCCAACCCGGAGCATAAATGCGGAGATAATCTTTTACAAACTTGTTCATCCGTGATTAATTGACTGACAGTAGCAATCCCATATTATTTTTATTTTTTGCTCTGTCGCTGTGGCATCCATCCCATGGTGGAGTAGCGAACTGGAAAGGCGGAACAGAGGGTTTTAGTGCAAATACATACGTGGGATTACTCAGCAAAACATGCGACTGCCAGTAGCAGTACTGGCAGTGGCAGTGCCACTGATGCCACTATTGCCACTGTTGCAGCTGTGTTCTGTTATAAATCCCCACCAGCAGCAGTCAACTTGCCCCGCACTCCACATATAGCTGCCTCCTCCTAGAAGTCCCCCCGTGGCAGCTATACCCCCCTCAGATATTCGCCAAGCAATGTTGACTGTTAGCTGTTGACTGCCGTTAGTTGCGCTGGTTTGTTGGCTGGTTGGTTGGTTGGTTGGCTGCCTGGCTGGTTGCTGGTTCGTTGCCTGGTTTGTTTGCCCCGGCTTGGCAATGAGTAATGAGAAAAGTTTTCTTTCCATTTGATCAAATGGCCCAAAAATACATAGTCGCTGGTTGTGGGTGGTGGCAACCGGCAAGTGGAGATGGGAGTTCAGAGTCCGGATCTGGGAGTTGGGAGTTGGTGGGGAGAGATGCTGGGGATACGCATTGCATACCCAACTGTCTGAGTGGCTGACAGGCAGAAGCTGAAAGACATAAATAAGCCAAGGGTTATAGGTGATGAAAACGGTCGGCTATAGATACAAAGGAAAAATAATTATCAAGTCTTCCTTGCAGCATTGCAAACTGGAAAGTCATTTAAGAAAGTGAGTGAGGAGCCTTAATTGAAATTTTTGCAAAGCTGCAAGTTTTTCTCGAATCATTTATTTATTTTGATAAAAATTTGTTCCTTTTCTTTATTGATGTTTGTATCAATAGTAAATAAAAGTCTCTCTTGGATTTCAATAAATAATGATTTTGCAGTTTCTTGATAAAATGAAAAATATAAATCAAAAATTGGAGAGAAAATTTGCTCTCGGGTTCAAGAATAATTAAATTTCAGGCACTAACGCTATGGGTCCTGTAACAAACCAAATGCCTAATCATGCAAGCACTTCGTAATTATCATCTTAATTATAATCACAGACACACAGCAAGGACAATGACTAATCAAAGTGCTTTCGAAAAGTTGGAGCATCATTTCCTGTTCATCTCCATTCAGTTTTTGTTCAGTTTTGTTTTGCTTCTTGGCTCGCCTGCTCGGCTGCTCGCAAAACACAATAAACAATAGTAAGCATCAATTAGGCGATGTATGGGTGGGATGTCCTTGCTCACACACACACACACGCGAACGCAGGACAGACAATAGTAAACACACACACATGTGCATCGGAGGGGGGCGTGACCCCATCACAAGCCAAACCATTTGGCATAAACAATGCAATGAACCGTGCACGACAATTTTGCTGAAACAACTTCCTCTGCGAACCGATTGGCTCTACAGGGGGGCAAAGGATATAGAGGGATGTATAGCCGATCAGGAACGGGAGGAACGATGTGGGGCATGGGGCATGGTCTCCGACACAGCCAATTCCATTTCCTTGACACACACATTTCCTGTGCACCAGCTGCTCCGGCAAAACAAACGCTCCAATTACTCCGTTTATGCAAGGTATTAAACTATTGCCCAGAAATCCGAAAAGGACATATATCCTCAAGTATCAAGGGTGGTATTCTGTGTATCCTTTTCCCAGAAGAGTGAAAAAAAGTCAGCTCAAACATTAACAAGAGCGAAAACATTTTAATGCATCAGTTTAAAAGTTACGTATATTTGTCTTTTAATTTCGTTTCACAAATCCCGAGAATCCTTAGATCCTTCTGAGGCGCTCGCTCCTCATGGGCTGACGTGGCTGCTCCACGGCCAGAATGAGGCGGCCGAACTGTGCTCCCCTGGCGCCCAAAGGCAGCAGAATGAGGCGCCCACTGGCCAGCTCATTCGTCAGCGACTCTTCCACCAGCTCCACCTGCGACTCCTCCAGATCCAACTCGTTCTCCGGCTCGCTGAGTTCGGGCACGCCGTAAGTGGCAGCTGGTGGTCCATAGGCTCCCGCTGGGGTCACAGCCTTAACCTCCGCCTCGGGTTGGTCGACTAGCTCCGGCTCTGGCTCTGACTCCGACTCCGTTTCCGTTTGGCCCAGGGCAGGGACATCAGCAACAGGCTGCTCGCCGGCAGCAGCAACAACACCATCGGCGGCGAAATCCTCGACGGCATCGAGCGTGGGTGGCTGAAAGTCACGGGAGGGGGCTTGAGCTACCACCTCCACGGTATCCGGCTCTAGGGGCTCCTGCTCGGGGGCTCCATAGGTGTTGGCGGGCGTGCGAAGGGCCACCTCCAAATCCGTCTCGGTCTCGGTCTCTGTTTCCGCTTCCGTTTCCGCTTCCTGCTGCTCGGTGGTGCTCAAGGGCTCGGTTTTCTCGATGGCTTCCACGGCGCTGGGAGTGGTTGAGGTGGTAGTGGTGGTGCTCAGTGGTTCTGTCTCCAATTTGGGCTGAGCTTCGCCGGGCAGATTAAACGGAATTCTTGGCCGGAAACCAGCAGCTGGATAGGGGGTCGAGGAGTACTCCACTTGGCGTTGGCTTTTGGCACGTCGCTGCGGCATGGCCGAAACGGAGGCGAAGATGGCCAAAAGGCCTAGGGCCAGGATCATGACGGATTGCCTCTGCATGTTGAGTGCTGGACGAGTGCTAACGGTTTGTGCTGCCGGCTGCTGTGGGTGCTGCACTATATATGCGAAAAATAAAAAATATAAATATTCGCCTGGTATGCCAGGCCGATTCTCCATCAGAATTCAGTAACGGTCGCAAGGTCGCCTTCGCCATTGGGTTATGATAACTCACCCGATCCCAGGCTCTTGTCAGTCATTGCAAATCAGTATCCGAATCCGAAGGTAGATGGGACAACTGACAATATTTGCGCATTTAAAAGCGTATCGTGGCTCATCAAAGCAGCCATCAAGCTCAATGTTAATGTTGCTTTAATATCAACAACCCAGCTCCACCGTCTTCATCGCCTCCGCCCGGCAAACTCCCAGCTCCATCTCGGGCTTAGCCCTCCAAGACTCACGTCATCGATGACAACGTGCCTCGCATTTCGGAGAGCCTCAAAATCTCGGAGTCTCTGACTCGCATTTAATTTTCGGCCCCGCACATGTCCATGTCTCGGAGCTACGGGCTCGTGCTGATCCATTTCGCCGCCTTTTCTGGGCCAATTATAGGAAACTATTTTGATGGCATTTTAATAAAACCACGAAGGGACTTTACTCTGCTTGTTGTTATAGGGTTATTGGGTTTATTTATTTATTTTAAACCTCTGTGAAGTATGCAAGTCTGGAAATATGGGTTAAAATTCTAATGTTTACGTTAAGACTTGATGTACAGTTTTTAAGGACAATCTAGACTTTCAGTTTCTTAAAGATATTGTTTAAAACTTTAATCCAAAACCCCATCTGCATCAATACATCTTTCCATTCAAACCGCATCCATTAGCCAATTTACCCAACTGCTCAAGTTGGCCAAAACCAAATTTGCCTTCATTGCTGCTCGTTTTATTGTTGTGGAGTGAGCATTTTGATTTTCGGCTTTTTGGTTTGCGGTCGTTTTCATAATTTTCAACGGTGTGTTCATTAAATTAAAGTGGCCCAGATCTATAAGCACGCAAAGTGGCGCAAATGTAATCACAATTTCAAAAGCCTTTAGCCATGAATGGGCGACGACATGCTTAACAGCTCAGGACTGTGACTATCCTGCCCTCCTGGCCGCCTGGCCTCCTAGCCGCCAAGCCTCATGCCGCTTTTATACTTTCTTCACTGAGCTCTTGATTCGAACTTCAATTTACAAGTTGGCCAAGTTGTTTGCCAAGCTCCGCTGGCCGCGCTGTGCGCTGGCACAACTTTTGGCCCAAAGTATTTGCACCCGGGCAGCCGTCTCATTGTAATTTAAATAAGCCATGGGGATGAGATTTTCTAATGGCACTGGGGAGAGAGGAGCGGAGAGGGGGTGGCGGTTGGGCGAAAGGGGAGTCCTGCAACTGGATTCCAACTCCGACTGCCAAATGTCAGCGACAGATTCCGTAGATGGCGACGAAGGCGACGACAGTTGGCTTTGCTCACCGCCCAGAAGTCCATTAGCAATGGTTTTTACAGCTTGGCACACATTTGCAGAGCCACCCACTGACCCACCCCCTGGCAGAAGCAACCCAATAGCACCACCCAAGTGGCTCCTACTTAACCAACCTGCCGCAGGAGCAGCCCACATTTCCTACCCAGGAGCGCGTGAGATTTTACTCGCAAAAGTTTTGCGCAAAGTTTGTTTTAACGCACGATTTGCCGAATTCCGAATGCCGCCTGCTGTTGATATCATATTCCAACTGGCCACGCCCCCCTTTTACAGCCTGCCTCCTTGATTTATGCTCCTGGCCTGGCCGAAAGCGCTTGGGGGATTTTCAGGATTTCCTTTTGTCGACAAAGGTGTAAAAAAGTTTTTTTTTATTCGGTTTGGTTGTGAATTAAGTGGGGTAATGTGGGTAAGTGGGTGGTAAAGGCTAAGAGTGGGTTGGTGGGAGCCAGAATAAATGCGTTTTGTGTAATAATATTATCGTAGAGAAGATTTTTAAAGGGAAGCCTGGAATTTAGATTTAATGAAAACAACAAACCACTTTTTTTAACCAAAATCTTGTAGCTTATAATTTTATATGTATGTTTGTAGGAAAAAAAAAACTATAATTTAGAGGCATTTTTAATTTATTGCCATAAGCCATTATTTCAGAGGATTACTATGTATTTATTTTGTAAATTTCATTAAAAAAAACCATTATCCCTAACCACAATTAAAAGCCATGAAATATGAAGCAAACACTTTATTCTCCTAAAAGGGGAAAACAAATTTCTACAGAGCCTTAAAGCTCTAGAGCTGTTCAGCTCCATTTACTTAACCCACATGCTGTAAGGACTAAGCAAATCCTTCAGTTTAATCTTCAGCTGAATGCCCTGTAATGCCATATTTATTTGAGAAATGTAAGCGCAAAATATTCATACTTAAGCAGCTAACAATTGTGGCCTGTGGTAGTTTTTCGCCAACTTTTCCATAACTTGTTTATTTTTCCAGAATTGTTTTTTAGCTCACAAACAAACAAACTCACATGCACAGGCACACACACGATGGAGCAACTTTATTTACACTTAAATGCAAAAATTTGCACAACTTATTACAGTTGTTATTGTTGTTTTCGTAGTTGCATCTAAACTTTTAGCGCTGCTCGTAGCTCGTTACTAGTTTGTCGTTTTTTCGGTTTTTGTTTGCTTTCTCCTGCAGTCCACTCCTGCAGCTCCAAAATCTACGCCAGCCACGCCTCTCTTTTCCTTCGCTGGCCAGGCTTCATCAGATTTTGCGCCTGGCGCTATGCAACAATTTTTTATTGCCCCGTTTGTTTGGCCGCTTGTTTGTCGTCGTCGTCGGTTGCATATTTGTGAAATGCAAATGTTTGCAAACCTCCAAGAAGGAGGATGCGAGTGGTAGAGTAGCGTAGAGTATTAGAGTAGCGGTGGCGGCATTCTCTTAACCCTTTAGTGCCCGCAAATGCCAAGCAATTAGCAAGTGAGTGGAGTGAGTGGGTGGGTGGGTGGCTGGGCAGAATCTCTGCATATCGCATTGCCCATCCGCCGTGTGACCGTCTGCTCTAATTAGTTGTGCTAAACGCACGAATTGAGTTGGACAAACCGCCGCCAACCGTCAGCCGATGGCATTAAGTGTGAAAATTGAATTTCCAAATCACTCGAACGGCAAACGATGTCGCCAACAGCAACAACAACAACAACAACAATATTAATAACGACAACAACAACAACAAGAACATCAACGGCAACAGCAAACGGAAATTGTGCAAATTTTGTGGGCGGAATTCCAAGTGTGGCAAGTGGCATGGCTGGGTTTTGGTTTGGGGCTGTTCTGAGGCTTGCCAGTTAGATATGCGACTAGGAGCGAGATGGGGTTACCCTCAGAATTCTCCCGGCTCCCCTCCCCTGGATACTCCCCATACCTACAGCGAAAGGAAGGCACCTGGCATCGTCATCAGCATTTGCATGAAAGGTGTACAGTGGAAAGTGGGATATCAGAGCAATTATAGTACTTTTTGTCCAAACTGTTAGGCAATTCTATTATTTATGGATAAACTTTATGCTTTTGGTTCATTTAGGATAACTGACATTTGCAGAAAAGATTTTAAAAGTTAAATAAATATTTGGCTAAAATGACTTTCTAAATAAACAACCTAAATATACAGTTTCAAAGCTAAAAATAATATGTTTAAAATATTTAAATTTATTTTTTATGACAAAACTCCACTGTGCCAAAGAGTTTGCCTTTAGACGTGGGTCTTTGGGTGTGCAAATCGAATAAAAATGGAGCGGAAACTCTAATGAATTTATGCCGCAGCGTTTGCCAAGACTTCTGTGGGAACGGCTACAGAACTACTAGTATCCGCATCCGGTATAACGACGAGGACTCTAACTCTGACTGATTAAATACTCTGTGTGTGTGTGTGTGCCACATACATATATTTAGGAGTGTGCATGTGCGAGTGTTGCACTGATGACACCACACTTCCTGTCCTGCAGCATCGCTGCATCCTGCATATTCATGTGATATCGTTTGATTTGCATCGATGTTTATATCCCTTTGGTGGGCTCCTGTGTTTGTATGTGTTTTGCAGTTAAATTCCTCCGCGAAGTGACGCCCTACTTCCGGAAGGCAAGCATCATCTCCGAAGTGGGCTGGGAGCTCCAGCGCGCTTTCCTCTGTCCTCTGGGACCGGGCGTTCCCACCTCTCCGCCGGCACCAAAAACGACACCTCGGGCGGATACTCGATATATTCCCCTCCAGCTGACACATTTGGCCAGGAATCTCAAATACATCGATCCAGGTAAGTTGTCAGTTTCAAATAATATTGAATAATTGAAAATTGGATACCACTTTAAAGTTAAGTTATAGTATTTAAATTTGATATTTAATTTAACTTTATTTTCATTTACTCGAAACTTTAGAGAACCGCTGCTTCGAGTTGCACTCCCCGGACGGAGTGCATTCGTGCATCCTGCGAGCCGCGGACTCGGCGGAGGCCCTCGTCTGGTTCAACGCCCTCCACTCGGCCATGGGCAACAGCACCCAACGGGCCTTAGCAGAGGCCAATCGGGCCCTGACCAATCTCATTGGCGAACTGAAGCACATTGGCTGGCTGAGCAAGCGGATGAATGGCGGCGGCAGCTCCGGTAGCGCCGGCGGCGGAGCAGCCAGTGGGGGCAGTGCCACCTCCACTAGCGGCGTGGCCGGCGAGCTGGTAAGTGTAAGTTGACCCCAAACCCCAAATATATTTATAAGGTTAATAATTTGTATAAAAAAAGGAATAGATGAATGAAATGTTTTTAGGAATGTCTTGAATAAGCAATGGGTTTGACAGTGATACAAATTGGCTGTGTTGTGGCCATAAGAAGAAGCAAAAGTGGGGATGTTCGGAAAATCCACAATTTTATAGTGGTACCCCTAGGAAAAAATTCGAAAAATTAAAAAACGGCATTTGAGCAATGTTTTGAATAAGGAAAGTCGCTTCTGGGTTTGCTGATTATAAAATGGTACTTTGTTTCCTGATCGGATACAAATCGGTAAAGCTGTGGCCATCGGAAGGAGCAAAAGTGGGGATATTTGGAAAATAAACATTTTTATGAGGATACCCTAGGAAAAAATTCGAAAAATTAAAAAACTGAATTTAAGCAATGTTTTAAATAAGGAAAGTTGCTTCTGGGTTTGCTGATTTAAAAATTGTACTTTGTTTCCTGATCGGATACAAATTGGCAGTGCTGTGGCCATCAGAAGGAGCAAAAGTGGGGATGTTCGGAAAATCCACAATTTTATAGGGGCACCCCTAGGAAAAAATTGAAAAAATAAAAATCGGCATTTGAGCAATGTTTTGAATAAGGAAAGTCGCTTCTGGGTTTGCTGATTAAAAATTGGTACTTTGTTTTCTGATCGGATACAAATTGGCGGTGCTGTGGCCTTTGGAAGGAGAAAGGGTAGGGATATTTGGAAAACCCACAATTTTATGGGGGATTGGGGACTTTAAGCATTCATTGGGTCCATGTAGTAAATACATGCATTTTTGATGATTTTTAAAGGAGACTCTTCAGAATAAGCGAAAAAAAATCTAAAGAAAAAGTTTTGTTTTAAATGCTGTAATATTTTTATTTAGTTAATTTTTGTTTTAAATATAATGTTTTAATTTATATTTCATAGCCCAGCGGCCGTTCCAGTTCGGAGAGCTCCGATGAAAGCGACAAGTGGCTGCCCATTTTCGTGGCAGTGACGGAACGAGAGTTCCGAATATACGAGAGTGCTCCCTGGTCCGTGGAGGCCTGGAGTCGTCCCCTGGAAATCTACGCCCTGGCCACGACACGTCTCGCTGGAGCTGGGAACAACTCCTCGCTAAATGTGAGTCAAAACGGCGGCTTTAAGTAAAAAGTAAATATAAGGAAACCATATACTTTGCAGGGCCAGCAGACAACGGTGTTCTGTGTGCGTTGCGGCACCGCCCGTGGGGTCCTGGTCTACTGGCTGCGCTCGGAGACGCATAGGGATATGGCTTCGTGGGCCAGGGCTCTGGTCCAGGGCTCCCATCAGGCGGTCAACTACCAGAGGGAGTTCTCGTTCCGCTGCCTATACCAGGGACGGCAGTGTCAATTGGTTGTGCACATAAATCGTGGCTTCTTTCTGTACGATTGCGGGGGATTCGCTCCAACAACTCCGACAGCGGCGGTGGCCACCACCAAGACGCAGCTCTGGCAGTTTGCCTTCGACAAGCTGAAGGGGTCGGCTGATGATGGCAACAGGATGTTGTATCTCGACTTTGGCGAAGATGGCGAAATTGTAAGTTTCTTCAACTAAAAGTTTAAAGTAGAAGTTCTACATTTTATTGGATTCTGTTTCTCAGGAACTGGACATGGAGTGCTGCCCCAAGCCGGTGGTCTTTGTTGTCCACAATTGTCTGTCGGCCAAGGTTCATAATATTGCCTAGAAGAAGGTGCCGTTAAATGGGACAAGCTGCTAATTGTTGATGTTTTGGGTGTAACTGATGTATGGATATTATTTATTGTTTGATCATTATTCGAGATTTGTTATTCTCCGCCCCCGGAACGGGCCTAACATTTAAATAATTCTGTAGAGTAATGTATTTCGTTTATGTATTTCTATAAGTGCAATATTCTGTTAACTCTGTCAATTAAATAAGATAACTTTGAAGCAATGATTAACCCGTTTCACATTTGGTTTGCTTCGCGTTATACTTGAATTTTTTGAGCAGCCGAAAAGCAGGCCACCAAATGTTTCCCATTGAAATCATTAATTTAAAATTATGCCTAAAATAGTAACATTTATAGACATGTCAGCCCTACCAAGATGTACGACTTAGCTTAAATAGCAGTAAAAGGTTAGTTAGTGGTAGATGAGTGAGCATTTTGTGCTTCCTGATGGCTATGGGAATGGATTAGTTCGGTAGGTTTAGCTGGATGGCAAAGACAGAGTAGATTTTTGAACAAAAAATAAAACAAAACAATGCAAAAACCACAAAGCACAAACCAAATAAATATAAAAGACAATTAAGATGAAAGAAAAAAACTTTATTTAAATTATAAGTAGACATAAATTCATTTTATACATGTGTCATTTATACAAGATACCATCTAAAGTGAAATCGAAGGAAACGGAAAACGAAAAGTAATTCTATAAACTTTACAACATTTGCATAAACGTTGAACAATAATTACCATAATTGTACTTAACTAAATGTATCTTGTATCTAAACGAAGCACACATATCTCGATGGCCACTTTCAGGCGGCACTGATATCGATCGTGGACTAGCCTCCTAACTAAATCATACAAATAATCTAGTTATCCAACCAATATATTCAAGGACATTTCGCAATTTCCCCAAAAACTCTCCATGTACAAGCCATCGATCATATGCAATTATTATATAAATTTATATCAACATATAACATGTGACATACTCATTTTATGAAATTAGAAATTTCGTTATAGACAAGGATGAAATGAAAATGGTAATGTAATGACAAAATCAATAAGAATATTAATGAAAAAAATCATAAGACGTACAATATTTTTAACGTAAGTAGTGTTGAATCTTCGATAATAAACTTATATATAAATATGATACCAAATCAAATATGTCTTTTATTTTGAGTTTCTGTGAAGAAGTGAGGTAAGTGTGGCGACCAAAGGAACAACTAACCATGGAATCCACTCAACTATGCCATCAAGCAACCACAGCAATCCAATTAAACCACGCACAAGTGCAATTTCTATGAGCTAACCCTTGAACCGATGTTGTGCATTTTGCGAAATTGCAAATATTTCTCTGGGTCAGCGGGCAATCAATGAACTTGTTGCCGGTACTGCCCCCAAGACACACATATAATTCCCAGAGTGTTTCATGTGTTTCGTGTTTGCTTGTGTGTTTTTATATGAATTTATTTTCAATTTTATCATTTCCCATTTAAGACGAAAACAAAGTCACCCAAAGAACGTGACCTGCATGTCCAACAGCTGGCACGGTCAAGTCACTAACTTTGCTCATCACAAAGTTAAACCGACAAAACTACACACAGGCGTCCCCAACACACACTTACAGATATCTACGCACATATTGGTGCACTGAGAAAAAAATTAGCCCACAAATGAAGAGGTTCTTTAAAAACTCTATGAAATGGAAAAGGTTCATATTTCCTCAGGACTTTTATATTTAAAAGCCTTTCAAATAAAGTCTAGTAAGGCTAGAATTTACATTTTATTTTTGCTTGTATTAATCCTTTTCTTCAAGTGTACTACGACTGTCTACTGTGGAGGTGAAGACGAAAATGTAAAGTGACTTTTTGGGGTTGGCACTCTGGCCATCGTTGCGGTCAATGGGGGCTGTGTGTATGTGCCTGGATGTGTGTGTGTGTGGGGCTTAAGGTGTAACGACCCGGGCCTTTCTGGCCTCCTTCAATGCCACAATACACTCGCAGGCACACAGACACTGCGAAGGAATTACATTTCCGGCTTGAACGGTTTGCGGAAGTTTCGCGTCAAATTAAATGCTCAGGGCTAAAATTATGACAGCTCCCGAATGGGCGGCAATTCTAGTCGTATAAATACACCCCGTCTGGAATTGATTGCCATCAAATCGTCAACAAATTGACCAGCGAACATGTGGAAAGTACTGTGCTTTGGACTGCTCTGCCTGGCTGTGGTCCAGGCGGCCGTCATCCGACCCGAAACTACAGAGGCAACCGCAACGACCACTCCCATTCCCGAGGACGAGGAGTCAACCACCACTGTGGCCAGCAATACTTCTGCTTTGAGTCGCGACGAGGAGGCCACCATATTGATTGATCCTGCCCCGGGAACTCTACACGAGGATGAGGCTCCCGTTCAGGAAAAGTCCGGAAAACTCCTGCTCCTAAGCACGCCACCCAAAAGACCCGTGGAAATTGAAAGGCAGCTGGAGGAGGACGAGGAGGATGAGCAGGATAGTCCCGCTGACGCGGAGCCAACCACAACCGTGCCATCAAACACTGTGGAGAAGGAGGAAGAGAAAAAGCAGGAGCAAACGGAGGAGGCAACTGTAACCACAGAGAGTAGCACCACTCCGGCCACAACCAAACTGTTTGCCGTCGATGCCCGGCCCGCCAAAGAGGACTCGCCCCCGCCCAATGTGGCCGTATCCCTATCACAGGACAATGTCACTGTTTCGATTTCGGAGCAGCCGCAGGTGCCCGGCGACAATAATGCTGCCGTAGAATTGGCCTTCGTGGAGCCGGAGGCAGAGTACGTGCTAGTGGATAGCAGTCACGATGGCTTCGACATTGAGTTGGACCCCGACTTGCAGCTGGGCAGCTTCACGCACATCGACAGCGATGTCCACTTGCAGCCGGCGGTGCACTCGGTGGAAATCGTGCCCACCAGCTTCGATGATCCTTTGATTGTCAATTACGTGCACAATTTGCGATGACTTGGCCAACAGGACGAAGGGGGGCTCAACAATTAGTACCCTCCCTTTTGTTTTCCAGGACTCTGTTAAAGTTGCTTTTGATCTGTGTTTATTTTGTATACCTTTTGTTTCCTTTTAAATTTGAATATTAAATAGTTTTAATGGAAAGTTAAAAATATTTTAATAAAATCCTTAAAATCGAAATACCTAATCTATTTTATTAAAAAAAAAATCTTTTGAAATGGTCTCTATTGGTGTACAATAGCTTTTGAATAAAATGAATCACTTTGCAAAAAAAAAGCTTAGACTTAACTTCTTTTCAATTGAGTGCTGTTTCGAGGCACATAAAAAATTCAGAAATATGGTTGCTCCTCAACAAGTCCCCAAAATCCAGGTTCAATGGTCTCCTTCCGGCAGCCTCCCCCCATGTCCCACCGCCCAACAAAGAAAGCACTGGCGTACTCGTTATTCAATTTGTATCCTCCATGGAGAGAGGAGATGAGCCTCCCCAGAAGGAGAAGGAAAAATGGCAGCTCCAAAGTCGCATCACGCCTTTTCGGATGCCACGCACGTTTCACGGTTAAAACTTTGCACATCCGCACGTCAAATTTAATACGGATGCAGGGAAGTAGAACTCCCGCCGACCCAAGCCACTCGCTATTCCATTGGAAGCAGTTTGTTCCTTGACTCTGGTTCGGCTCCGCCTCAAAAAAATAATAATAACAATAGCAACATTTAACAAAGCATTCAATGACGTTAAACAAACAAAGTTTGGAACGTGCCAGAACTTCCGCTCGAACAAAAACGATAAGAGTGATGACGTTATAATTTGTATACCTATAAAAAAAATACTTCCAAGACCTTGAAAGAAGTTGGTAAATGTTTGTAGTGTTTCTACAAAAACAAGATAATGCAAAAAAAGGATAAACAAAGGTTTTTAAGCTAAATAACAATTAAGAAAGTATTTATTTTTCACGCATTTAAAAGTAACATACAAATACTGAACTGTTAACAAGTATAATCATACAAGAAGAACCTTTCACTCCTCACCAGCGCTGCTCCACATGGGTGGTGTAGACAAATCCCCGTGAGGGTGCTGCCATAAGAGGTTGTGACCTCAAAGGAATGGCCACAGGAATGGAACTGGGCGCCCTGGCCACCACAACAGCAGGTCCCAGATTGGCTGTGATCACCACACTCTCGGCATCGGGTTCGTCCTTGGTTCCTGGCTCAGGTGTAGGCTTGAGGGGATTTGTGCTGACTCCGCAGACAGGATGGTCGGCGTTGCTGTCAGTGGCATTTGTAGCGGGAGCTGTCTGGGACTCTTCCTCTGTGGGCAGGCGGAAGGCACGGCTTGGTCGGTATCCAGCTGGGGGATAGGGCGCTTTTTCAAAGGCACGACCTGCTCGAGCCTCTGCGGGGGGAGGAGCCAGGGTGGTGGTGGTGTCCAGCGAATCCCAGGTGGTGGTACTCAAGCCAGCTTCCGTGGTACTGGTGGAGAGATCCTCCACTGGCAGCTCCGTAGTAGTGACACCTGAACCCGAACCTTCGGTGGGATCAGCCACAACCTCAACTTCAAGATCTCCTGGCAGCCAGAAGGAGCGACCTTGTGGCCTGTAACCGGATGCTGGATAAGGAGCTGCCTTCTCCTCCACTGCTGCTTTATCCTCCTGGACACTAACTGCGTAGCGATTTATCCTTATCTGACGTGCCTCAATCATCGGAGGACTTAAGGTCCCCAGGCAAAGGATAAGGGGTAGAAGCCACTGCATGATTGACATCAATCTCGTACCCAATTTAGATCCAACTGATTCCAGCTGCCATTACGCCCGGCGTTTTTATATAAAGTTCTCGGGAGAGTCTCGGAGAATATAGACATGATTTCTATATCATCGTGGCATCGACATCGACATCGATTAGGCGCACACTTAAAGATTTATTTTTTATTTTGTTGTGGATTTGCTTCTGGTCTCCGCCCGCCAGACCACGTCCGCCGCCGATTTATCCACCACATCCACCACCCGGTATTATCGACAGTTCCCCCGGTGCCCAGTGTCCAGTGTCCGGTGTCCAAGCTGTCCATTGTCCACTGTCCACGTCCGATTCACCGCCATGTTCTATGAAAATTAAATGCGTTCCGTACGTGCCTCGCAATCTAATCTCCGGCCAATTGAAAGCGAAATCGAAAACCGAAAACGACTGCGACATCTACATCTATATCTTTATCGACAGCGACCACTTTGTTGTCAATTGCATTATGCTGGAATTGTCAGTTCGAGTGTTAGAATTTTTGATTAAACACTTATAATCGATATTTATGCGATCAACGATTCGGCGTTGAGGTGAAGCCCAAGGTCTAAATAAGTGATTGAGAGACTACTCCTCAAACGATTTAATATTTTTCGTATACCATTATAATGACTATGATATCACAATGCAATATTTACAATAAATAATTTTAGGAAACCGTTTTAAAGAGTTATTTCTAATGTTTTAAATAAGCACAAAATTTTTGTAGGGTGAACTTTCTAAATCTTATAACGAATACCTTCCAGAATTTGTAAATGCTATTAAAGCAAAGCAGGTACCTCTCACACCTTAGAAGTCTAGTCTAAATATATCCTAAATCTGGGACTATCCCAATATCCTTAAACTTCACCCTCAATTTATAGCCCCACCATTAATTCCATTTTCTGTCACATTAAGAGTGTTTTAATGTTGATCGATTGAATGAATCGCCAGGTGGAACTCGCTTCGATTTTGGACTGATTAATGGCGGAACTATAAATATTGGCTTCCAGTCTTCTCGGACATAGCCCACATGTGCCTCTGCATCTGCTAGTTCTTTCTGGTCACGTCGTGGGCACATAAAGACGCCGCAGACACCGCCGATCACGGGGAGCCAAATCGATAGTGGTTAGCCGACGTCAGAGCTGAGGTCCAAAAAAGGATGCCTATGCTGGGTCCATGCGTCGCACATTAAACAGCTGCCCAGTCCAGTCCAGACCATGTCCAGAGCCAAGTCCTACCTATAAAAGCGCCCAGGGACAGTCCGATAATCATCAGTCGTTTTTAGAGTGACATAACCATCGCATCAGCTCCATAATGGCCAAGTTCCAAGCTATTCTCCTGCTGGCTGTTCTCAGTCTCTGTGCCGTTTCTGAAGCCCAGCGCCAACGGTACCCCCAGCGTTTGAGTCGCGGACGTTCTAGGTACTCTGCTCGCCAGGAACTAGCCCCAGCGGATGGCGGCGATGTGGATGCGGTGACTCCCTATCCCTCGGCCGATGAACTGAAGCCGGAAGTGCCATTCGACGAGGCAGCCGCAGCCGCACCTACTCCGGATGCCGTCTACGGGCCACCCGATGCCGCTCCCAATGCCGTGCCGGATGAGGTATACGGCCCCCCGGATGTGACAGGAAACGATCTGCCCGCCGCCGTTGATATTCCGGCCGAGCAGCAGGCTCGTCTGGTGGCTGCCAGGAGGGCGGCTAATTACCGCAGGACCGCCCAGCCGTTGGCCTATCGCCGCCCCATTTCCGCCGCTGCCGGACGCCCGGCCAAGTTGAGCGCCGCCCGCTCTACAGTGCGACGTCTCTGAATGGAATTTCACAACTGAATACATTGGGGTAAGCTATCTTTTCTCGTTTATTTCAAAAAACAATCTCTGAATTGTCTTCCCCTTTTTAGAAAGAATATTTCCCATTAATGTATCAGCCTGCTGCTGACCCGGTACATTCCCAAAACCCATGACGATCCAAGATCCCAATAAGCTACAATGATGACGACAACACCTCCCATACACTTACACCCACACACACATATATAATCTCGCCAAAACACACACATGAACACTGAATCGATAAATAAAGTATGTTTGGGGAAACATAAGCCAGAACCTTCTCTTCTCTGCCAGACATTCTGGTGATTCACTTAAGTGGGAGCGGAAGGTAATTTCGCTAGACGCGCCCAAAAACAAAATACTTGTCAGTGCGATCGTGGGGCAGGGGGCCGGTGAGTAGGGGGGGGAGGAGCGTGGAGAAACAGGTTTCAGGACGCACGCGTCACTATGCGATGACGAACAGTTGGCGAAAAATGATTGCCACTGCAGCGGTTTGGGGAATGCCCAACCGCAAAGAAAAACAGGGCTTTAAAATTTTAGGCAGCTTAACGAAAACTAAACACTCTTTAGTATGTATTTTAGGAAATTCTAAAAGTTTTAGATTTAATTAATCAATTCAAGTAGTCACATATTAAACCTAAATAATGTTAAAAGAAAATCTTTGAAATTATAAAACTAATATAATATATACAGTTTAAGAAGTAGCTAGAGTAGAGTATAGAGATAGATTTGAATTAAAACTCAACTTCAAAGCCTCAATTGGGAATTCCTCATAAAAATAAATATTTATTAGATATTTAATCAATAACAATAGTTTGAGATTAAATGAAAACCTTAATTTCATTAGTGTATTAACTTAATTCATTTATTTTGAATTTAAATCAACAAGTATTACGGCTATTACACAATGTAATTCAGACCGAAAGTAAACAAACTTTAATAAAAGTGTGCTTTTGATTCACTAAAATTTGAACGGGGAAATATTTAATGTCCATTTGTAAACATGGAAAGTGCAATTATCTCAATGAACCGCAAGAATTTCCACAACAAGCCCCAGACAGAGAGGGAGATTTTACGGGGGATCCGATTGTTTGATAAGCCGCCGCTGTACAATCCAACTTGGACTCGTTTGGCAGCTTATTAGCCTACCGCCTGACTCAACACATTTTGCTCAAATCGAAGCTGCTGCGAGAGATTCGACTTACATATTTAAATGATCTTCCCAACGCAGTCTCCGCTCAGTTGCCGGAGAATACCAGATAAGTGAAGATCGTAGCCTAGATCGAGTGTAATTTGCGGAGAGACTTGCCGAGAAAAGTGAAACTTTTAGTGAAAAATGAATACATTTATGTTTGCTGCCTTTATTATGTCCATGACATTGCTGGAAGTCAGCCAGGCCCAGAGACCCGGTTTTGCCGGATTGCGCCCTCCCGGAGGACTCAGCCAGAAGGATAAATACCATGCTACGGCCAACACAGCCGTCGAAAACTTTACGGGTGTGGACATAGGCACCCGGTTTGGTGAGGGCTCCAGCTCCCAGCAACCAGCCATCGTCAATCTGGATTTTGGAGCCTCCCAGCGGCCACCAATGGGAGTGCCCATCGTTCTTCCCTCGGACGGCTTTGTTCCGGACTCTGCCCTCCAGGCAGCTACTATGCCTGCAGGAGTAACCAACCGCTTTGGAACTCCAGATGCCTCTGCCACAGTGCCCACATGGATTAATCTTCCAGTGGATGCCCATGGAGATCGCGAGTGGGTTAATCATCTTAGTCAGCTGCCAGTGGAAAGCCAACCATTCTGGTTCGTCAACTACCAGGCTATCGAGGCGCACCGGAATAGCACCAGGCCCAATGTGGGAGCCACGGAGACTCGGGGATCTTCTTTCCGCGGCTAAAAACTTCAATTATAATTCTTGGAACTCTACGCTGAATTTTTGTAGAATTTTATTGTACAAAAGCTTATTTATTTAAATCTCAAAAAAATACAAAAACTTAAATTAAAAAGTTTATTTTTGAATTTATTTAAATGGCTTGCGATAACCTTTGGCAAAAGGGGGAAATCCACTCGGAATGATAAGCTCAAATAATCTGTGGCTCTTTGTTAATTTAAAATGAGAACGTGATTAACGTTTCGCGTGAGAGACTTCAAAAGAGGGCTATTAAGTTGTCAGTTTTAGCTGCTTAATTAATAGGGACTTTATTGAATTCTCACTGATTAATGTTATGAAATTATGCTAATAATACATTGGAATTGAAAGGCCAAAGCGTTGAATTCAACTAATTATAGTTATTCGTTTCATTTCACGCTTCACAATAAATAGTAATATGTAGAACTAGTTTGCGAAAGCTGGGAATATTCTATCACCTTTAACCGCAATACCAGCCACTTCATCTCAAAATAAAAAACGGCATTAAAAATGCATTGTATAAGCGAAACAAAGTTGCACAAAAGACCATAAAATGCCAGGCAAAATGTACACCAAAAAGGGAGGTATCAGAAGCCCTTCAAACGCTGCCAAAGCAATACACATGTGCTGGAGCAAATGCAAAGGAGCTGGAACGGAGAAGGAGGAGGGAGACCACTAAAGGGTCTGTCCTGGTCTATTGTTGGAGGCCAATGATTTGCAATAAGTTGGTGGTGAGTGGAAAGCTCTTAGACTTTTGTATTGTTCCTCAGAGAGATGAAAATATTGAAAAGTTTTACATTCCTGAGATAGAAAATGAGCAATGCCAGTGATGTGCCATTCATTGAATATTTTTCTATTATTTTTATGTTTTTGAGTTTACTCCCTTCTTTAACAAATAACAAACATTTCTATAAAAAAAAAACAAATTATATTTATATAGAAATCCTAAACCATTTGAATAACAATTGCAATATTTCGGCTAATGATTACCATCCCAGTTGCTGGGGAGCAGCGGTGTAGGCAAGATAGTAGGGCTGCTGGGCGCCCACATAGTAGAACTGGGGAGTGGCCACTGCTGGGACAGCAGCTGGAACAGGAGCAATGGCAGCCACTGGAGCTACTGGGGCGACAGCCTCTTCAGCGGGCAGTTCCTCGAGGCGAGCGGTGCGCTGGCGTTTTGGCTTGGCCAACTGCAATTTGGCCAACCTTTGGCGGCTGCGAAGACGGGCGGGGGCAGCAGATGGGGTGGTAACCTCCAAGGAACTCTCCTCGGTCTCCACCTCCTCGGTCTCGGGATTGGGCTCAAAGTTGTCCACTGGTGGCTCCTGCTCGGCCGGCAGGGCATCCACGCCGTCTGGTGGTCCGTACGTCACAGCAGGCTCGAGAGGCGAAGGCTTCAGGTCCGCCGCCAAGGGATAAGGAGTGGGTGCCACCTGCTGACGAGCAAATGCCACCTGACGCAGGCGTCCGAATCTCAAATTCCGGCGCAGGGGAGCCTCCGCGGTGGAGCTAACGGCCCAGATGGCCAGCAGAAGAAAGAGCGAACCCAGGAGCTGATGACGTGCCATGATCGTGTGAAGTGCAGTGGTGCTATGTTGACTGTCGTATATGGAGCTTTAACTTTTATACTCGCCAAGACCCAGTGGTGGCCCCGTCTGTTGGTCAGCCAGCGATTCTAGATCGGGCCCATAGCGCCGTGAATTTTAAGCAGAGCTCCGTCGATTTGATTTGAAAGCCGTATCATCGATGCGTATGTCAAGCAGGCGCCGCACAGCGGACCGGAATTTAAAGTGCTATCAAAGTGCCTAACCACTTTACCACCATACCACCATGCAGTTGTTATAATGGGTTATAGGGTGAGCTTAGATATATGAAACCTTCAATGGCCGACTACTTCGCCTGAAAACTAAAAGGAAATTGATTTAAAAATGGCCGATATTTATTTGAAGTTAATAAGGTACTTCGTATTTACATAGAAATCGCTCATACGCCGTGTGGGCTTACTTCACTTTTTGTCTATTAAAATTTCGGTGTGCATTCGGTGTGTGCTTCATTACATTTATATCGACCTTGATCTATAGCTCAAAATTACCATCGGAATACTAATATCGTATGTAAAATGGGAATATGTAAGACATGACGTACGAGTATTTTTTCAGAAGCACTGGGTTACTGAAGAACTTTTATAAAAATTAAAACAAAACACTTTTCATTGGATTTTTAGCAATTAGATAAATAATCTTATAAATAATTCAATAAACGATATCCAAACATCAGTAAGACTCCAACAAGTCCACCCCATTGCTCATACGCAGTGTGGCCAATGGTGTCGAGCTTAACTGCTGACAGTTCGTAATTAACCAGCCAATGGTTATGGTTTAGACATGGGCCCTTGACTAAATTATTGTCACGTTCATAGGCCGTCGAAAGGTTGTCCCTCAGAGCTCCAAATATGAGTGGCCAAAAAATGTGTCGATGGTTGTATATAAGCCGGGGGATTGCCGGTAACTGACAACATTCTAAGACCACTCAACAGCACCTCAACATGGCCTACAAGTTTACCTGCTCCGTGCTCCTGATCGCAGCCATTGCTGCTGTGTCTATGGCAGAGCCGGCTAGGTTCCGCAGTCGATCCTCCCGCTTCCAGTTTGCCCGGCAAGAGCTGGCTCCCCAGGATCCTGCAGCCCCAGCAGATCCCGCCGTGGATATAGCTCCCACCCCGGCTTCGGCTCCTTATCCTCCGGCAGGAGTAACGCCTGAAGTGCCTTTTGATCTGCCCACAGAGACGGAGGCTCAACCCGATCTGACCTACGGACCTCCAGCTGAGCCGGACAACACTTACGGACCTCCAGCTGAGCCGGACAACACCTACGGACCACCGGCAGAGCCTGATAACACCTATGGACCCCCTGCCGATGTCGCACCTGCTGACCAAGCTCCCGTTGATGATGCCGCTGCCGCCGAGCCTGTTCCTGCCAGCCTGATCCAGCCCAGGAACGGACGTCTCCGTAGCCGTCGTCCCGTGCCAGAGAAACTCCGATCTGCCCAGATCATTCGCTCCAGGCCCGTGCTGGTCTACACCATTTGAGATAGTTGAGAGGCTTTAATGAATTGTTTATGAAACGATTTAAATTTTATCAAAAGACTACACTTTTTTACACTTTTTGTTGCTAAATAAATAACCGAGACATTTGTTGAATATTAAAAAAAATATGAACTATTTGTTATTTTTAAAATTTAGTGCAAAATTATTGAAATTTTATGATTATCATTCATAAAAAAACTTATGATTGTCACTTGTAAAATTATCTTGAAGTTAATAAAAGGAAATCAAAAGAATCTTGCGAGAAAGCAGTTTCTAAAAACACTTTTCAAAATGTTTTATTTTTTCATTGAGACTTTTTATATTCTTTTAGTATTATATTTTACATATGCTTACAAATTACACAAGATACTCGTATTTTAAGAAATAAACTCAAGATCAATAAATTGGCAAACATAAAAGGTACTCATTTGTTGAACAGAACCAAAACCTATACTGTTTAATAAACAAATCAAACCAAATAAAACACTATATATTTTTTGGGGACCTTGAAAAAACTATGAATATTTAAATATATGCCCATGGCTGGAACGTGACCATTTGTCTGCATTCTCATTGGACATTTCCATAGCCAATTTCGATTCACATGAGTACTAAATATCCATCAAACGAATTATGAACTGCCAAGAACCCAAGTCCCAAAAACAAACAAGCTCAAATGCTCGTGGCGACCCCAAAGCCCAAAACGAGTGTTAATGAATGGGATCCCAGAGGGGTCGAGAGGGGCAATCGGGTAAGTGAATTCGAACTCATAGCATTGGGCATTTAATTTGGGAAAAGGGTCACGTACCGGGTATTAAGCAGAAGCCACATCGCCGCCAATCATCAGAAGCAACATAATCAAAGCTTTTTACCGGGAACGGGAACCATGCCGAGGATCGAATCGAATGGAGGCGTCAGCTGAAAACTGAAAGTGACGAGCATAAATTATAACAGAACTCAAGCCGGCAACTGGGGGCCTATAAATAGGCCGGGTCTATGGAGGAAGTCAGAACAGAAGACCTCCAGCCATCAAAATGATCAAAGCCAGCACAGCCATTCTCCTTTTGGGCCTTGCGGCTCTTAGCAGCGCTGAGCCCTTGCGCCGCAGATTCTCCGCTCGCCAGGTGGAGGCTCCTGCCAGTCCAGCGCCTACGGGTTACCCAGCGGCTGGCGTCACACCCAGTGTACCCTTCGATCTACCTAGTTCGACGGCAAAGCCAGAAAGCACTTATCTGCCACCGGATAACACCTATGGTCCTCCGGACAACACCTACGGCCCACCAGATAACACATACGGACCTCCGGATAACGCTGATCTTCCAGAGGAAGACATCAATGAGCCAGTGCCAGTCGAAGCCGAGGAACCCACCGACGACATTCCGCCCACGGATGAGGAGCCACTGCCTGCTGAGGATGCCAAACTACTCCCAGAGGAAGACGAGCCCCAGGTGGTCCAGGTCCAGGAAGATGGTTCTGTCATTGTAGTGGCCAGCAGTCTGGACGTGCCTCAGTCAGCCCGTTTCTACCAGCGTTTCCCCCAAGGACGACGCCGTGAACTGCCTGTTCCCCAGCGCCTGATCCTTCGACGCAACTGGTAGAAGGACCTTTTTTACAATGGACCTCATCCAAATCAAAATTCGTTATCAAAATTATGAGGTTATTAGATTAAAATACTTTTTTCTGGCTATAATAAACTATAAATTATGGTTATTCTAAAAAATTTGACTTTCTTAGTTCACAAAATAATAATTACACGGTTTTTGAAGCTATTTCTTCGAAATACCAATAGAATTATGTTGGAACATGCCACCCGAAACTGAATAGGGGAAATTTTCGTAAGGTTACACCTGCTTTAGTCATCACAGCAATGGGCACGTAATGCTTGGATGGGACTTGCCGTATAAGTCATCGGTTTCGTCGGCACTTTTGGGCCATTTGATTGGGCTGACCCCAAGGCCATGGCAGCGGTTATTTAAAGGCGCCACTGGGCCACAACTTGCAGCAGTTCATACTGGGACAGCAAAATGTTTGGTCACCTAACTGGCATTTCGGTAATCCTCGTCGTCAGTGCTATTATCAGCCTGGATGGGCTTGAAGCCGCACAGCTAAGGTTTCCTGGCCCCGCCAGAGGAAGAGCGTTACCGCTGATTCTGCAGAGACAGGAGCAGGCACCCTATCCACCAGCGGGCTTGGTGCCGGATCCACCATTCGACCTGCCCACAGAGGAGGCTGTGGAGTTTCCACCACCGGATCAAACCTATGGGCCACCAGCCGATACCTACGGACCACCTGCAGTGGAAGAAGTCGCCGAGGTTTATGGGCCTCCAGACCAAACATATGGACCCCCAGATCAGACCTATGGACCCCCGGATCAGACCTACGGTCCACCAGAAGAGCCAGCCAACGATGAGAGCTCCAACACGGGTTTGCCGCAAAGTGCTGCCATCATAGATTTGGCCAGCCTGCCTTTGCCGCCTCAGGCTCAGTACGTTCTTCCGCTGCTAAACCGATTGTCGGCCTTCCGTCCACAGCGTCCGGTTCTCTTGACGCCGCAACGTCGTCCTGCCAAGCTAACTGCTCGGCCACAACCCAAGCCGGCAAAGATTGTTAACGCTGTCAAGGAGAGCTCTCTTTTCCAATCGACGCCGTTGGCTCTGCCCTTCGTGGACCGCCGAGTCCCTTTCCGGCCGGCTCGTTTGATAGTAAATGCTCCCCAGCGCAGAAGACCCATCAGTCACTAAAGGACAAAATTATTCCATTACCATTCTGACCCAGTGCAGAATGACCCAATGTTAAGCATTACACTGTAAATAAAGGTTGTTGTTTATGTCTAATTTGGAAACAGTAATGGTAGAAAAATTTAAAACGCCAGTCGCTTCATCAACAGGTACATGTGTTGATCCACTTCGAATCCGTGCAGATTGTTGGCATCTCCTTGGAGTCGCATCAGCAGCCCTCCGAAAGACACGTAGGCGGACAGACGGGAAGCCTCATTGTGCGCCTCGTCGCCTTCGATCCTGTAGATCTTCCCGTACATCACGTACTCGAAGCTGTCCGCCCGCGTTCCTTCATGCTCCATTGGATTGTACTCTCCACTGTCTGGACAGCCATCCTCCCGCAGTGTGGTAGCCAGGACCAGGCGGAACTTGTCGCCCAATTCCATGGGGTACAGCCACGAGTTGATGTCCAGGATCAGGTCCATTTTGAAGGACTCGGATTCGCAGTGCAGGCGGGAAACTCGGTCGAACTTCTTGCCCTCCGGGTCCATATCCTTTACGTTGAATATATCCTCAAAGAGTACGCCAGCCATTATAGCTAAGAAAATATTTATGGTTATTCCAAATGCCGAAAACATGGTGTCGCTGTTAATCTTTACCTTGTGTCTGATTTGTTTCCGAAGTGCTTTATTGAAGGTAGTGCGTCGGCCTTCCAGCCTTTGATTAATAAATATATAAATGACTGTTATATATTGTATTTATAAACTATTTCGGATTTGTTTAATATTTGGCTTGCGCGTGTTTCCAAATTCGTGCTGCCATATCTCTTTGCGGCTTTGGTGCTGCCACATCTTCGCAATGACAGTGTTAGTAAAGATTAGGCAGCGTTCAGCAATATACGTAAGATATTGCAAATTTGTAAATCAAAGTTTTGCATAAACTTTTAGATTATACAGTAAACCGTATGAATTTAAAGTTAGTTTATGTTTGTAATTTTTTTGTATTTTCCAATAAGCTATTTCAAAACCATCTCTCACCTCTAGTTTTGCAGAACTTGGTAAGACCGTATACCATGTCAATACACATCCCTAAGTATAAGAACAACAACGAAAAAACCACCAAAATTTGCATTATTTTTATTAAATAAATTAGCTACGGTGTTAAATAGTTATCAATACGTGGTTTTTCAAATAATCCACATGCATTGAAATGGAGTATCGATCCTGGACCTAGGCCAGCTGCCAATCAGCGAAAGGTGAAAAGTATGTACCCCAACCAAAAGGGGCGTTGAAATTATAAACAAATAAACCAAATTGGTCCCTGGTTGCAGAATGCTGGGTCAGTCAAGGCGTGTCCCGTGCGGGGGTGATCTTCAAGGTTTCTCGGCCAGAGCAAGGGCACAAGCTGTATAGATAATGGCGAATTCTTACAGGGTAAGTCATCAAATGGTATATTCTTGGTGATGGTTTGTCGGATATGTACATACTCTGTGTGCAATATGTAGCTGTCCTGTTCGTAATTAGATTGTTCGTAATTCCCTAGTGGTGCTGGCAATTACTAACAAGCGGTTTCGAAACCCAAAAACTGTGGACTCGTCAATAAAAAACAAAAGACTTCAACGGAGGGCTCTCCCTTGAATCACTCCCCTCCCCAATTTTAGATTCCCTATTCAATTGCAATACTACACAGTGAAAAATTGATGTTTGTTTTAATAAATTATATTGCTTAAATAAAAATTAAACTGAAAAATCTTTAAATTTTTTTAAAATCTGTACAATTTTTATACAAACTTTCATATTTTCCAATAAGATTTTTAGTTAATCCTGTCTATATCTATTGGAAGCTATGGAACTAATTGGAAGTTTTTCGAAAACAAGTGTTTCAAAAATGGTTCACTTTTTCCAAGTGTATGTATTTAGCATTACAAAACTGCTGTTATGTATTCACTTCTTTATTTTTCACCTTTTTTGTGTGCGATTTTCGCTGTCGTTCGTGCTTTTTCCCTGTTCTCTTTCAGTTTCGATTTCCAGCTCCCCGGATTCTAGCTTTAATTCGCTTTTTTCAACAGCTTGCCGTGTGTTTTTTGTGTGGCGTTTAAGTGAGTTTCTGGTGCTTCTGCTACTGTCGCGGGTGCGGCTCTAATGAACCATTAACCCTCCCAGGGGGCAGGGGGTTGAATCGTCTGCCTGAGTGCTGAGACGGTACCCATTCTCGGGGCTAGAGGAACGAGGAACGGCTAACCAATCTGTTTGCCAGATGTTCATTCAACTCAGGGTCATTGCTGCATTTCCCGTGCGGTCTGCTCGATTTTCATTGGAAACTTTACCGCCAGCGCGAACAGACGACTTGCACATCGCACCGTTCAGGTTGCACAGCAGGGCAATATCTATATAGTATATATAGAAGTCATAGCTGCTTCTAGTGTCACTGAGTGGATTCGGGAGTCTTATCGTTAAGTGGAATCGCTTATCAGTTATTGCCTTTCAGGGGCTGTTATCAGTTGTTCTGACTCAAACAAAAGATTGAGAAAACAAACTGGTAGAAATGCTGCAAGCTTGTTTTCGCTGGAACTGCTGAATGATAAAGTGAATCAAACGAAAAGAGCTAGTAGGTTACTACACATAGAGAAACAACAGTCAACAGTCAATAGAAATGTTATAAAAAATCTACTTTATAAAGTATTTAAATTTTAAAAAGATATACATCCACTTGAAATATTCCAATCTATTTCAAAGATAAAAGTACCTTATATGCATATGTTGAATACTCAAGAAAATGGGTAATTTTCGTGACATTTCTGTCTGTGCATTCGTAGCTCTTATCACTGTTGACACAGCTGGAGGTTCTGTTCTATTCCGTCAACGGCTCTCTGTCTTTTATATTTTCGTTTCGACTTCACCTAGTGTTACTATTTGTGTTCGTGTTTCTGATTCTCAGTGTGTCTGCTGCGGAACGTGGCGCATTGCGAGCCCACAAATAAAACCGTTCTTAACTCTCTTGCAGCCCATCTAAACTAATCAAAAACCAAAGGTGTATGGCAACTATCCTAAGAGTAGCAAATCGAAACCAAAAATCGCTTAGGTCATTAATCGTAGAAGTAAAACAATCAACAGTGGTGCTGGTGCTCCAACAAGATATCTTCAAAAAAAAACAAAAAAAAATAGTTATAACAGCTAAATAACCATTCAACCCAAAATGGTGCGCAGTCGTCGCAGTTTGTCCAAGGAGGATGCCGTCTCCCTGCATACAGACAGTGGGATCTCGCTCTCCTCGCCCCCCACGGATCGATGTTCTTCCCCGGTTCTTGTTACACCATCGGCCATCAAGCGGCGGAAGAGCAGCTTGGCCAGTTTGCGGGACACCTGTGCGGATGAGGACGAAGAAGGTGCTGGCGAGCAGGACTTAAAAGATGCCGACTACATCCAGCCTCCGCCAAAGAAGGCTATCCGCGGAAAGCCAGAAGCCGTAAAACGGAAGCACCACGTCTGCAGCCTCTGTTCCAAGGAATTTGGCGGCAAAACGGACTTGCAGCGCCACATGCTCATCCACTCGGACGAGCGGCCGCACAAGTGCTCCGTCTGCGGGAAGAGCTACCGCCAGGCGGTCAACCTGAAGAACCATATCACCACCGCTCACGAGCACCGCAAACAGTTCGCTTGCCCCCAGTGCCCCAAGTCTTTTGCCCTGAAAGAACGCCTGCGCCTCCACATGCGACTCCACTCCGGCGAGAAGCCCTATCCGTGTGCCCTATGCGACAAAAAGTTTGCCAGAGGTGGACAGGTGAGCAGTAATCTCATGGAAGACACATTCAGAATTAAATAAATTTTATTTCTATTACAGCTTCAGCAACATATGGTTTCGCATCACAAGACCAGTATTCAGCAATTCAATTGCACCAAGTGCTCGGCCAGCTTCTCCACGAACGCCAATCTTCGGGTCCACATGGAAAGGCATGAGCAGGGCATGGAGCATCGATGCCAAGTCTGCGATAGCCAGTTTGCGAACGAGTTGGCCCTGCGTGCCCACATCAACCAGGAACACCACAAGCTCACGCAGCTGGACTGTGAGGTCTGCCACAAGGCTATCGAACCGGATGAGGATCTTGCCAGTCATATGCAAAAGCACGCAGCGGTCAAAACGCATGTGTGCGAAGTCTGCAATTCCTATTTTACCCAAAAAAGCCAGTATAATGTCCACATGCGAATGCACACGGGAGAGCGACCGTACCAGTGCAGGGTAAGTCAAAGAAGCTTCATACAAAGTTTAGATATACAAGATTTTTGTTCCAGATCTGCCATCAGACGTTTGCCCACTCCAGCGTTTTAAAGCTGCATATCCGCAAGCACACTGGCGAGAAACCATTTCGCTGTCAGCTGTGCGAGGACGAAGTAGCCTTCTCCCAACTGGCGCACCTCAAGAACCACATGAAGAAGATCCACAAGCAGCAGAAGCCGTACATGTGCGAAGGCTGCCACGAGTTCTTTAAGATCAAGGTGGAGCTACAGGCCCATGCTGAGCAATGCGCCAAATGCCCTGGAAGTGGAGGCGATTCGGTAGATCCGCAGTCCGATGATTCGCTGGTACTCTCCAGAATCCGCTTCAATATGGCGGTGGTGTTGAAGAAGATAAGCTCGGCCCAGAAGCTGCGCCAGTTGGGTTATGAAAAGCGGCTGATTGATAACGTGGTCATAGCCTCTCTGAAGCTGGCCCAACGAACCACGCACGACGACGTCAAGCTGACACCACTGGCAAGGTTACGCCTGAATGTTGAGGAGTTCCTCAAATGGATTGTGCCGGCACCCACAATGAAGAAATTCAGCGAAGAGATGCTGTCCGTTGACACCATTCTCGATAAGATTGCGACCATGTATATGAAGCAGAAGTAGAAACCAGGACGTTGCTAGCCAACCAAATCGCGAGAGTGCCATAGAAGGATTCGTAGAACTAGTTCTTGCCATTTAGTTTAGATTTTGTAAGCCCAAAGTTGAAAACCAACCCAAAGATGTATACTTTTTAGTTCCGAACCTTAGTCACAATTGTGCTGCTACCAAAAACGAAACTTATTTGAAATATTTGTACTAGTTTTAAGTTAGAACCAAAACCAACCAACTATCAAAAAATATGGAGTTAAACTTTATTTCGATATGCAATACATTATTTAATAAGTTGAAGGACAGACTTCCGCCAATATTCTTTCGTATTAAGTCTTGCCAGAGCGGAGGATTACCCTAGTATTGATCTAATAGCTCAAGTACAATTCAAATCATTGTGGCCATGCAAATATAACGAATGTGCTTAATGCATTTAGCTTGCCGTTCTTCTCCCAACCTCTAACCTCTTCCCTCTAGACTCTAGACTAACTCGAAAATGTACAAGAAATTGTGTAAAAAAGTGCAAACCCATGTGTACAACAAAATAAATGAAACGTTAATCAAAAAACGAAGTATATATTGGAATATAAGCCTAAAAAACTGGACAAGCTATGGGATCTTCTGCCCGGGATGCTGCAGGTCTTGGAATTTTGTGCAATGTCCGGCTGGATGTTAAATTCCATATTTGAATTGTCCAAACAAAGCATCGTGCCACACAGAAACACCCAGGCACACCCGACTGAGCATTCAACCACATAAACAGTTAGCTACAAGTGCCCCATGGGCCTGTGTTGCTGCCCCTCGCCCTGGCTCTGCCACATGGCCATAAATGGTCTGGGTTTGTGCACAAATTTATAAGCCACTTACATTAAGGCGGCAATTATTTTTATGGCAAACGGCACACTGCATGCGAACTGATCGTCGCCAAACAGTGGGATCCGCACCTGACCGCTCGACTCTGCTCGACAGACACCCAGCACCCCCAGAGCAATTAATGAAATTTCTGTGGGGAATTTATTGACGCGACCGTTAGTGTCACCTGAGGATGGTTGGGGGTGAAATTTGTTTGCCCAGGAGATGTATGCAAAGTTTTATGCATCGAATATAGTTATGATTTTACGATAGCCATGGATTGGAGTTTTCCTTGGCTCTAGCCATTGCGTGTCATCTGAAGCGGCAACCGCAGTGCCATCCACTCCATCCACCCGGCCTCTTAGTCGTGGGCCTGGTCAGCAGCTTAATGTCTACATTTGTTCTGGCCATTGCGTGTTCAGTGGCTGCCCTTTTTTCAATCTCAGCCAACTTGGGTACTCTGCCTCCTCTGGCACATCCACACCCGCTGCAACTGCAACTGCCACTGCCACTGCAACTGCAAGTCAGACACTCCAGCTGCAGCTCCTTCAGATTGAGCTTGAGATTCTGGCCCAGCATCCCAACTCCGGCAGCTGCTGCTGCCATGGCGCATTAGAACAAATTGCTCTTGTTACGATAGGAAGGATGGAATGGACATGCCTTTTGCCTTGTTTGGACCGATGGACAGAATGCCACTGCTGCTTAGAGCTTGGACACACTTGGCGGTTAGGATATAAATGATATTTTATTCAGTTTGTATTCGATACTATTCAATCAAGTTCAATGCTGATTCAGGGTTCAATAATGAGATCCACTTAAAAATGGTGTACAATAATCTACAGGATTTCTTTAAAATAAAATCATATATACCTTCTATTTCTTGTAAAATAGGAAATTATATTCAAAAGGGTATAGAATATTCCTTTAACCTTTAATAGAATCGTCTCCTTGTTTATTTTCCAGGTAAAATGCGCAGCGAATTCGTGAAACAAATAGTCAGAGACGTAAGTACGCATGTTTCGGCTGTTGACCAGGGCTCGTTGGGGGCTTAGCCTCATCTGCATACGGGGATTTGGTTTGGACAATGTTAATGATGAGAAAACCGAACCCCAAACCAGCCGACTCCCAAGTGACTCCGACTCCAACTGCGACTCCGTGGGCAAGGTTCCATTTCCGTCTTCCCTTCAAGAGACCTCGAGTGCAACAAATTGATTTGGCTTTGGCTCTGGCACGGAGTCTGGCCATTTGTGTTAAGCTTGTTTGGCATTATATAATTCATATATAATTCTTTTGTTGTCTGCTGCTAATTTGCAAATTTACGCTGCCATTGGGGTAATGTTCAAATAGTTACGTCTATTTTAAGGCTGGGTCAACGGCATGGGCCTCATCATTAAGCCAAGTTACTCCGCGTTGGCTATTGCAGTTGACCAAGTTCAAGTTGAGTTGTTCACTGACATCTAATTTGTGTTTGGGGCTGGGGAGCTGCCCGAGTAAATTGCAGTAGCCCACGCCATCTAGAAAAGCGTTTTCTAGTCTACAAATCCATAATTGCCTGGGAATGCTAACGAAGTACGTACTATGATTCAAGAAGAGCATTAGAAATGGGCAATCTTGGGCCAAGTTTATATTTTAATAGTTTAACAAGGAGTTGAGCCAAGAAATTTCTATAGCCTTTAACCGAACAACCTTGACCATGGATTTTTTTTGGGATACAAAACCTGTGCGTTTAGCCAAGTCATTGGGGTCATTCAACTCCAGATGGCTGGGGCGTTTAAGGAGCCAAAGTCAAAGTCAAGTCAAAAGTCATAAAAGATATGCAAGCCTGGGCATTCGGCCTGCCCCAACAAATGTACAAGGCTACAGATGGTTTTGTGAATAGCCAGAGTTTCGGCTTGGGTACGGGTATCGGGCCTGGGATGTGCGTTGCTTTGGTAATCCTTGGCCTGGTCTGTGGTGCCCTTTTTGCAACAGCAACTGCTGCATACATAAAAACACAAAAAAAAATAAAAAGGAAAAATAGCAACAGGAACAACAATTACAAATGAACGACTTCTTTGTTCTGTCAGCATGGCTTGCTGCTACCCAGCACCAGATACAACTGGGATCTCGGGCCCAGGATCGAGTCCAAGTTTTGCGGTAGCAGCCCAAAAGAGGGGGCGTCGTCAGAGTCGTCTCCATCTCCATCTATGCTGCCAGCAGCTGCTACGCATAAAGCATTCGTACTGCACTGAGAGAAATTAATAAATATAACAAAAAACTGCAGATGATACAAAATATATTGAATGGAGAATAAGAATTAAATGAATTTCCTTTTCAGTGCCTCGAGAGGATGCTGATCTTTTGGGGCGTTGTTTCTGGCCCAAAACAAATACGAAGAGCCGGAGTCTGAAGCCACGTCTCTGACTCCATCTCCGTCTTCATCTCCGTTTCTGTTTCTGTCTAGGAGTCTGAAGAGTCAGAAATGTGCAACGTTATCATAACTAAGTGCATGTGGATGCGTGTGCTTGTGATTCCCCCGAAACGAAACGAAACCAAACGAAAAGAAACCGTCTGCATATGCATAATTCATGCTATTGAACCTTCTGCGGTTATGACTGGACAGTGGGACAGGGGGACCCTGGACTTGAACCTAGCCTTGCCAGTGGGGCAGGGTTGGGGCTGGAGTGGGGCTTTTAGGGAAGGAGACCGCAGCCAAGCAACTAGAAAAATTATAATTTCACAAGTCATAATAGGATTTGCAATTCAAATGCGAAAAGGCAACGCAGACACTGAAAGCGGCGGACTCAAGTCGACTCGAGTTGGGTTTCTTTCAGATTGTTCTCAGTTGTGCTGTTGTTGTTGTTGTTGTTGGCGGAGTCGTTTCCTTTTTGTGAAAATTCTGTGGAAGGAGCGAACAACAATAAGAGGCTTCACGGCCAGACTTATGGCCAAGGCTCTGGTCCCGGTCTCGGCCCGGGTCTCGGCCAATATGTCAAAAATATTAAGAGACATGGCCAATGGGCTCGGGCAATAGCATTGAGAATCGGTTTGGAGATCGGATAGGATCGGTCTCTGGCTATCATGCATAAATATGCAAACGATAAGAGCTCTCCTCTATAAAGTTGTAAAATTGACAAGCGTTGCAATGCCAAACTCTCAAATAAAGCAATAAAATGCGCTAAAACATCGCCGGCAAGGGACCAACCAATCGCTCGGTAGCCACCGACCAAATGCAAAAATTAGAAATAAAAGCCAGCGGGAAGCTGGAGAAGCCCCCCTTCTTACTTATCCTCGTCTATATCCTCTTTCTTATCCTCCTCCAAATCCTCATCCTTAGACGGGCGAGTTTTCACAGAATTTATGCCATTCTGGCTGGGCTTCGGGTATACGATGGCGAGATAGGCACGGAAGCATCATCGTTTGTCACTGGGGCATGCAAAGGCTCAATTCATGAGTCCGCATCGACATCGAGGAGGAAGTGCGCCTGGAGTGACAGCAGGCAGCGCATAAAGATAACAGATGGTATTGCAGTGGGTTGCATCGTAATCATGTCAAGCCGCCGCCCAGAAACGCAGGAGCACAACTTACGACTCACTTAGGGCTTCCTGCCACTGAACATATATTCTCCCAAGAAAAGAAATTCCGATGAAAAGGATTATGTAAATATACAAAAAAGACTTAGGTAACGAACTTGCTGAGAAATCAAATTTATTGTTTTCAAAATATTATTTTTTTGGGTCATATACGAAAGACTTAGGCAACGAACTTGATCTCAATTTCAATACTTTTCTTGAAAAGTTTTTTTTACCTATTCTTATAACCTTTGCAAATCAAGGCCTTACTAAAATTAAAAGCAAATGCGGCAACAGAATTTCTGGAATTCAGGATTTTGGTTTTGGCGATCGCACAAAAACAAAAGACTTCGCCCGCGAACTTGACAGTTTTTCCAGCTAAGCACGCAAGCAGCGCGGCCAGATTTGATTAGGGCTTAAGCTCAGGCCGTGCTCAGCTGCGGCGTCATAAATATTTAATGATATTGTCAGCTCTGCGACCACAGACCATTCACGCACACCACACACATATAGCCCTGATCTGGGCTTTAGCCCGACTTTGGCTTCAATTTAAATCAAATGTGCCCAACGATGCCGTCGCCGCCATGAGTTTGCGATTCTGCTCTTATACCCTTTTAGAAGGTACCATTCTTTTTCGATCGGAATACCACTTATGAACTGAATACCAATTATGAATTCATGTTGGTTCCTCCTTGATCTGAATTACGAAATTGGAAAAGTGAAACAACCAACATTTTGGTTAATTATTAGCCACTAACAAGATGTTACCACTTGGAAAAATTTCGAAAAACGTGTCCAGACTTTGTGTGATAGGTTTTTAGGAAGAATGTTGCTTCCGATGTTTTAAACTCGGGAATGAAAGCCATTCTAAGACCTGGCCAGAATCAGCAGAATTGGGCACAATTTTCCATCATTAAAATAGAAAAATTGTAGGAACATTCCTTTTTTTTGAAAATATTTCATATATTTCGATACCGAAGGTATAACATTTCTGAATCTGATAAGTATTGCCCGAGTTATACACTTCTCCACATCACAAAAATTGGGCTTTTGAACCACGAATTTGTTTTATTTATTTTTGCCAAAATCTACACATTTACGTGAATATGTTTTTTACTTTTCGCCACCAATTGAAAAGGGAATTGTATCTGTATTCCTATACAGA